ACGAATTATCGTTTAATTAAGAGATTGTGTTGTTCTGTGGAAAATTAATTTAAAGCGTTCCTCTAAAAATAAGTTTTCAAAAACATATTTTGACGTCAATTATGACGTTCAGAAAAAAATATGCATGTCTTATATAAAGGGATTATCGATTGACTTTGAATAATTTCAGAAGGGTAGAGATAAATAAGATTTTTATAATTATGTTTCATTTGTAATCTGTTTATGTATCTTGATATCAATCTAAACCTCTTGCTTTGCATTGTAAGTGTAGCATTAGTGTAGTAATAATATTCAAACATCATAAATGTTCCAATTAAACTTTTAACAGGAAAAAATTTAATTGAAAATTAACATCTCGTTTATGGAAAGTTAGAAACCTGCATTATTACAAATAATATATCTGTACAGCTATTGTTGATTTATTTTACTAGATTATACTACACATTGATAAATTTATATGAATGAAAGTTAAAAAAATAAAAGATTCCTTTTTAAAACTATTAACTTCAGCCATTGTTGAAGTTAAGCACCAAAAAACAACTAGATGACAATAAATTGTTATTGAAACGAAACTTTGGATGATGAAATGTTTCAAGCACTTGTATCTTTTCTATAGTTAATACTCTTCAACAACTGACACACAGGTCTTTGTGCTCTAAGGGTCTCTCAACCTCGAATACATTCAATTCTTCCATGAATCCATTAAAATATTAAAATTAAACAATCTGTATCTCGCAAGCTTTCTTGTAACAAACCACAAACTTTCTTGATTAATTGTTATCAGAATCATAATTAAAGATTTGTGACTTTTGTGAATTATTATAAAAATTGAAACTTTCAAATGTGCTCTTCTACTCTAAATGTATAATTTTGTATATATAAAGTTTATTGATTGTTAAATTATATTCTATATATATTTTAATCTTTAAATTATCAATAAAGTAGTTATAATATAATAAGAAAAGTCATACTATTGATAATAGTATATGATTATCAAAAATATAAATAACTCATTTTTTTAATTCATCAGCTTAAATAATGAAAAGTTTTGAAATAGCAATTTGACAAATTATTATTGAAAGATGATTAATTGAATTTTGAAAAGACTTTCCTAATGCGTATTGTATTAATTTTTTTTCAATCTTTTCTCCAGGATATATCAACAAACAAAAAACAATCTACTATATAAATTAATATTCAAACATGATTCTCAAACAATGACACAAAATCCCTTTGGCATCCATTGCCTGATCATAAGTTTTCTACATTTACAATAAATTTTCCCCTTTCTAAAATTTTTTCTTTAAAGAAGAATCATCAACGAGTAAAGAAGAAAATATAAAGAATCGTGAAGAACTCTAAGTTACGTCCCTTATACGTATATGACTATATTATTCGCAATAGAACAAATATTTTTGAAAGATCGATTCCCAACCCCTGACCAACCATGCCGCCCGTTACATAGTTTCGATTTAGCAGAATGAACGTAGAACGGAAGATGGAGCCTCCGTATATGTATTCCGTGACGCTCGAATTTGGATTCCGAAAACGCGTCCAGATCGATACGCTCGAATTCCTCGATATCGGCGATGCCTGCCTGGTCGATAAATTCGGTCGCCAAGTCGGTCGTCTGTTTCCATATACACATATATATATATCCTCGATTCGTTAATAAATTTCTTCTTCAGGAGCAACACGAGCATCATACGTGTTCTTAAACATCGACGTGATCACAGCTGACATGTCTGCCCTTTCAAGAGAGGAGAGAGAAAGAGGGAGAGGTATACGAGAGAGAGAGAGAGAGAGTGGGAAGGTCACACAGTTTGGATCGTCATCGACAGTCAGATTAAAACTGTGTATAAAAAAATGACGAAACTTGAAGGACGATCGAAATTCATTATCCTGGATCCTGCATAGCAATCCTGGAATTCACACTTAAATTTTTTTTTGAGACGCCATGAATTCGAGATTTTCCAGATTAGATATACGTCAAGGCGGTCTTTAATCACCTTTAATCACGAGGATGAGAAGTGATGCATAAGCGGGAACAAGCAGTCGAGGCTCGTGTAAGCGCAGAGTGCATGAAAAGTTGATTCGACGGCCACAGTTTCTAGCATGAGCGAGAGGAAAACCGTGAGAGTGGGAGAAAGACAGAGGGAGACAGAAAGAAATCAATAAGCGTTCTATCGACGAACTGGCTGGTCGGACAGAAATGTGTTTCAGCCTCGAAATCGCGGTACTCTGAATGTATTCCGTGAGGATGTGACCAAGCCTGAATGAAGCTTTCTCGTCCGACGAGTCATTCCCGACATGTGTACCTCCTAAAAGCGTTGATCCTTTCACGGTCGATCGCTGAATAGTAGGAATGCACAACGCGCGCTGCACTCTGGGCCCCTGCACCTGGCCTCGACGATAAAAATGACTCCGACGCTGATACGCGAGTACGGAGTTTCCCGACACCACGGCGACGTAACACACGGCAGCACAACAGGGATGGTTTCACGACGATTTTAAGGAGACTGGACTGGCCTCGGTAAAGCCTCGCGCCACTGTAGCCCGCTATAGCTAAAATATCGACCATTTCGTGGACCCCCGCCCGTCCTTAGACCAATCCCGAGGAAGGCCGCGCCTGCGCCACAGGCAACCCGACTGACATCTCGAAACTATCGGCAAAACCCATATTTCGTGGGAATGACACTTGTTGATCTCGCGAAATTTCAATTCCTACGACAATGCGGCCATTTTTGATAGTTTTGAAAAGATATCTGTCCTATCGATCGTCAATCGGTTACCCACCATGGGTAAATTATCCATGCAATTTGTCAAATAATATAGAAATATAAAAGTATCGTTTTGAAATGAAATACCATCAAATCGTAAGCAAAAAGTAAAGGTATTTGATACGATTTCCCATAATTTATACGGTTCTAAATAATTTAGAACCGTAGTACGAGTACAGATAGTTGATGAATGTACAAACCATATATTTGGTGAAAATATAATTATATTATATATATATATAAAATATGCAACTTATCGTTTGTAGATAATATACCGACACAACAATTTTCCATCCGTCGATAATAATAATAAAATATATCTTAAATACGAAATTTATATATGATTTTAAAATATGCACAAAATCGAATATCTGCTTAATAGTATAATATTTAAATTGTAATTAATTTGATTTCCTCTCACTCGATAATTACACTCAGTAGATAAAGTCTAACATCATTGACATTTATACCGATAACTGTATAAGTAGTTATCTACATATATATAAATATATTTCAAACAAATATTTTAAGATATGAAATATTTTAATATAAATTTCCAAGTAATTTTATTAATATTTCATTAATTTTATAATTTGATTAATTTTATTAATTTATTAATGTAATATAATAATTTATAAATTTACAAATTTTAACAAAATATCGTTTTTTGATTGTCTTTAAATAATAATAAATTTTTATTTTGTTCAATTTTTTGAGTATATATTTTTTTATAGTATATATTTATATAACTATGAGAGAAATATTTTTTATTTCTTAATTTAAATTTTATATGTTAAAAATTAATGATTTTTATTATTTTTTTTTATAATATATCTTTGATAAATTTAACGTGTAAATTTAAAAAAAAATTTAGAAATAAATAATATATATATTTTATATCTTTACATTTTCACTTAAATAGAAAATCTATCAAACATTAATTGATTACGAATAATTAATTCAACTTTAATTAGCTTTTTCATTTTTCTTAAATCATTTGCAAAAAAAAAAAAAAAGGAAATTGTATGAAAGATTCTTATT